CAGAGATACTCGGCTGTTTCATTGGGACAGAACAGTTTGTAATACTTCAATCTGTAGCATGTTTTGAATTATCAAAGCATGCCCCGTTCTCCATTTAATATGCGGCAAGTGTGGATTAAATCATTTATATGGCAGGATTTCTTTCTTTCTCTTTTTCTTTTTTTTAACCAGGGATTGAACTCAAGAACTTGACGACTATCCAGGCAGATGTTTACACTGCTGAGCTATATCCTTGGCTTATTTTTTTAACTGGCGATTGAACTCAGGCCCTTGCGCTTGCCATGGAAGCACTTATTCTACTGAGCTATCTCCCCAGCCCCTCATTTTTCATCTTAATAGATATATAAGGACACTGACCTCTGGTTGGGACCTTGAGATTTTGGCCCCACTTTTAACTGTGCCATTATAGTCTGCAGTACCTGTTAGACACTTTGTCAGTGTGGCAGAGAAGAAGAAGTAAAAGAAGTGGGACAGAGCCTTTATTGCTTTTTAAGACATGGAGAGAATCAAATGTAGGAAGATTGGGAGGTACCATGACCAGCGACAATGGAAGGCTGAAACTTTATGGACCTTTGGTAGGGATAGAGTTTGAGGGGTAGTTACAGTGACACATAAGGAGACAACTGGAGTGTCCCTTATATGTTGAAAAAAAGTATCCAGGACTGGGGTGGGGAAGCAAAAGGAAATGATCATTGTATAGACCTCGATGCGGGCATGGATTCAAGCCCCACAACTTCTCTTCAGTGGCAATACCAAGCAGGTCTACTATCGATAGTCTGGTCTGCAGCAAATTCTCCTTTGAGGGTAGGGAAGTGGATGACTCACCCACTCTCTGACAGACAGGGCAGTCACATTTCCTGTGACCCTTCAGCTTATAGATGGGATCAGGTCGGGTGGTAGCTGCAGGTTGGGCCAGGCTTATGTCCAGTGTCTTTCTTTGCTGCACTTGAGACAGTCCAGGAGACACTCAGGTGGCACCATTTTGTTTATGTTTAGCATCACCTTAACAATATCATGCCTTATAGGATTCCCCCAGTGCTGTAGCCAAAATGTGGCACTTGTGTATAGTTAATTTTTTCTTTCTTACTCAAAACATGAAAATATAGAATAAGTAAGTCTCCCTGAGGGGTTTGAGATCTGAGATCTGTCTTTTAATCTTAGCAATACACTTAATTATCAAAATTTTATGAGTATTAAGCACCTTGAAATATAAAGTGTAATCAGAGAGCTGTTATTTCCTACCAGCCATGGACATTGTACTAGTTGAATCCCTGTATAATGTTTAAAAGACAACAGCTATATAATCCTATGGAGAAAATTTGGCACCAAAAATTTTACATAGTAATGTAGCGTATGACAAATATCTGGAGCATAAGAAAAGGCATATGTTCAATTGTGTAGGAGAATAACATTATCAGTTTTACACTGTAGAATGTATATTTGGAAGGCATGAATATGTTTAATACACCATGATATTAGCAGTAAAAAACTGCCATTATTTTATATCAAGAGCACCTTTTATAGGAAAACCTTATTTTAATTTTTTTTCTGAAAAGTTTTATCTTTTAACCAATGAGCAAATTACTGGGGGAACCATCTAAGAGACTATGCAGTTTACTCGAGACTCCTTACTAATGAACAAATGTTGGTCACTCCCCACAAATTGGAATCCTGTCCAATAATCTCTCTGCCTTTTAATGATTTTTTAATTTTTTTTAAATTTTGATGACCTGTGTATATAACAATCTTGATATCACTTGGAATGGCTGTTAACTCAGGAGAATCTATGCTCCTAAGTCTGTATTCCAAAGATCCAATAAAAAGAGAAACAGTTGTTCATGGAATGCCATAGAAACATACAAACAAATACACAGAACATAGAAATGAACATCTTTACACAATCAAAATATGCTCAAACACACCTAATTACAGTGTAATAATGTTTTCAAGTTTGTAATTACAAAAAGATTAGTCAAAACTCTTTGTAGGTCAATTAGTAGAGATGTCTTTTTTTCCCATTATTTTATTGATAAACAAATAGCAATGAGACAGTTTCAAATCAAATTGGTAGGACAGTTTCAATAATTCCCACATTGCATACATTCCTCCCAGTGGTTAATTGCTATGCAAGATGCGGACAAGGTATCCTATCTACAAACATCATTAGAACAAATCACTCTATTCATTAAAAGAATGTAACTATATATCTATCCTAACCACTTTGAATACACAGATATAAAATGGACATTCATCTGTATACCCTTTTTTTGTTAAATTCTGTTATTTGAATATTATAGGTGTGTTATCTCAGCAAAATAATCTAAAAGAGTCCAGTAGCCCATAATATTATTGGGTCTTCCGCTTGACTGGCAATGTCAGAATGTTGACCTGAGTCCCCTACAGCTCAACATAACAGCATGGCTTTACTTCTTATATTTCGTTTTTATACTTTTCTGCTGGGTGGTTAAGACCAAGGTAAAGCAGGACTTATGCAACAAGAGTTGTAGCTTTTGGGTCTGATAAGGTCAGTCAAATCCCCTCAGGATTTATCCTGTGATCCTGTACCTCAGATTGTTTGTCAGTGTCAGCCATGTAGAAGAGTCTTGGCCATTGCTTGGCCAATGTGCTCTCTGTGAAAGCCTGAGAGAATGTTTTCTCTCCATGTGACTCTCCTTAGGCACACTCTACATCATCGATCACTTTCTTCTTTGGCCCCATAATTGCCTTATAACAATATGAAAAACAATATACATACTGGGGGAGGGCGAGGAAGCCACGGACTTAGAATCCCTTTCTTGCAACACAAAGGAGGAGCTCAATCTGAAGAGGCTTTGCAAGTGGGGCAGGATAGATAAGGCTCTACTTTGGAAATGCATCCGCATTTGAAACTCCAGGGTGGTCTGGATCTAGCTAGGTTTTTTGATGGATTATTACCTGGGATACCAACCACAACTGTAGTATTTTTAGGATTAAAAGTGGAACCAAGAATAGCACAGAGATCATTCCAATATAAATCATAGGATTTAAGTATAAATTGTAGTTCTTTAGTATAAGTGTGAGGGTTGCCTAAGAAAGATCCCACTTGGAGATTTATATCAGAAAGATCCCAGGGGGTGAAGTGGATGTAAATATGAAACAATCCCCTGTGGCCTGCTTGTTCTCAGCGAGGAAAAAGGGATTTGGGTTTGTAATCATCCATCAGGATCCAGCAGGTTGGCAATGGCTTATCCTGTGATTAGGTGCTTAAAGATGGCATGCTTTCCCCATAGGAAGAGAAGAAGGTGATTGCCCATCACATGATAAGGTACTATGAGGTGACAATGTGACATCACAAGAAAAGTTACCTCAAGATTGTGACATCTGGCCACATGGCAGATTCCCACATGCTGGCAGTGCAGCAAGAAGTTGAGTCACTTGGGAGAATGTATGGAAAGCAGGAGAAGAAGGGGGTAGTGCAAGCTCCAGAGGTTCCTGTAGAAGTGAAAGAATAGAGATGATGGAATCTACAGGCGAGGTTGAGAACAAGGCAAAAGACAGACGTTGTAATATGGGACATGAGAATGGCTAATGAGACAGTTGGAGGAGGCAGACAAGGTAGTCTATGGCAAAGGGGGTGGAGAGGGTAGGAACAATAGAAAAGGCAGGGGGTATATTAGTGAAAAAAAGGTGTGTGAGTGTATTCAGAGTCAACAAAGGATTTTAAGGGATTTCTAGCCATTTGCTGTTGTGATGATAGAAGTTTCAAGAGGTCAAAAGTACCCTCTTCAGACCATTTGCTGTTGTCATGGCCAAGTCTTCTGGCAGTAGTTGTTTGGTGTGAGATGTCCAAGGGTGCTAAGGCTCTTTAGAAAACAACAGTGTGTTTGGGAGACTGGGAGGAATATTCCCCATGGTGATGAAGAATTAGTGTGACATAAATATTTAGGGCAAGAGCCTACATCAACCCTCTGAGAAATCAGTCCCTTTCTAACTAAAGTAAACGTGAGAGAAAAAGGTCAACACCTGTTTCTGTGAACATCATCAACACCACCATAAAGCCAAGTTCCAGATGCACAAGGACAGAGGGGAATTCTGCTGGTGAGCTCAAAATTTTTGAGATGAGGAAAAAAATTTGACAAAATACCAAAGAAGAGAATGTGCTCAACTGTGAGAATTGAGACTGGCCAGCACTGGATATATCCTAAAAACAGCAGGAGGCAGAGGAAGAAGAAGCAGAAGAGTGGTTCGTTGTTGAGGAATCTCAAAAGATGGAGGAATCTCCTGGAGCTACATGGCTAAACTATCAAAGTGTCGGCACCAAAATTCTAGGCTCTTTAGCAGCATAGCAAAGTAATAGAAGTAAATTAGAGGACCTTTATTAACTCTGAAGACATGGAGAGGATTGGTGGCAGGGAAATAGGGGGATCCACCGACCTGAGACAATGGAAAACTGAGAATTTATAGACTGTTGCTAGGGCTAGAGTTTCAGGGGCAGTTTTAGTGACACATAAGGAGCTGACTGAGGTCTCCTTACTATGCACAGGAAAGCTATTCAGGACAGGGGCGGGTCTGAAACAGGAAGTGGTCATTGGCTAGATAAGCTGTTGCTTTTGGCATTCAACCATGTTGAATCAGGCCCATGTTAATTTAGCAGTTTGTACTTGGGCTGGAATCTATCAGTGTTCTTTGTTCCATCAAAAACCCCAGCAAGGATGTCTAGGACTTCCCTAGGCTCTCTTCATACCAATTCTTGGGACAGTGAGTTCCTACTGAATATGTGTGTATTTCTTTCAGATATTCCATGGACCTCTATCGCAATTCCTGCCCAGTCCTCCAGAGTCCATCAGATTTTCACTTCATAGCCCAAGAATGAACGGTGACATGCTCACAATCAGAGGCTTGTGCCCCATGCTTCCTATGTCTACATTCCATTCTCTCTGTCATTCAGGACCTACAAGCCAGCTCATTCATACTTCTGAGGGGTGAGGCGATAGGTTTATAGAGATGACCTGCGGTTCTACCTGTTGCACTTTCTTCCTTTTTGTTATGAGACTTTGGGGTGTTGCAGTGTTTTTCTTTTATGAGGTGATTTTTAGGGGTTTTCTTGTCCTGAACCAAGAACTGAATGAAATAAGCATGAACGACAACCAAGATTTAAGTTTATTAAAGGTAGACAAAAAATGAAAAGAAAGGGAAAAAATGTCTCTGCAAAGCAAATATGAGTCAAGTAAAAGGAAAAAGAAAAGAAAAGTACACCATATAGTGTAAGTGAATATTGGGAGCAGCTGAAGTTGGAAATTGATCATATGCAGGAGGGCAGGATGATGTTGCACTGCCTAAAACAGTCAAACTACCTCTTTCTTGAGAAAAACATCCCACCTGAACATTAAGCTATTAGTTGCTAGTCAACATTGTGTATTACAACTTTGCAAAGTTATAAATAAACACATCTATTGTTATTTGGAGGTCATTTTGCAGACCAGGCAGCTGGGCTACCAGCTGCCCCATCTTGTCTATCTTATCCTCACACCTGGGAACAATGGATCACGCTAAGAAACAAAAAATAATCCATACATATGGTGCCATGGCATTAAATATCTATTGGCAACAGGAACACTTTCAAAGACTGTGCATAAGGGAGGGCAGTGAATTAATTGCTTAGAACCACTATTAAGCTCAGGCATGCATCAGTGCTGGTGTATCAGGTGTAAAGCTTGGGAAGAGAGGCTCATTTGAATGAGAAAGGAGTTCACATGGGTCAGAAATGGCTTCTTTAGGGTCAGAGAGATAAACAATCTTTAAAAAATAGATTTGTGAGAACCTAAACAAGAAAAAGTTATAATGGGCTAAACATGGGACACAGACTCTCAAGATATACAGAGGTATATGTATGTAGAAGAGGTTTTAGAATGCCTGATCCTTGTATTTACTGGTTTTTCTGGATTGTGGTTAGTGTTAGCTTTTTTATAGTGTCACAGAAAAGAAACAGACAGAAGGAAAAAGAGAAAGAGTCTTTACTATCTTTGAGGACGCAGAAACAATCTGAGGAAGATAAGGGATTCTGAGTTGGAACAAAGGATAGCTGAGACTTTTCTGGCTTTTTGCCAAGGGTGTACTTTGAGGGGGATGTTCACATATACCTGAAGAGCAGACTGGGGTCTTCTGGCAGGCAGTAGGAAAGATGAAAAGAAAATGCACCCTGGGTTGAATTGCAGATAAATGGGGGAGGTTGTCTCTGGGATAATAAGCTATTGTTTTAAGGACTTCAGCCCTATTAGATGAGCACTGTAATAATTCAGCAATTTATACTAAGGCCAGAACCTATCAGTTAGAAGGAGTTTGGCAAACACAAAGGATTTAACTTAGAGTTCTCCTTTAAGATAAAGTCCCATTGATGAATAGTAAAGGGTAGGAGGATCGATGGACCTGAAAAGATAGAGCTGAAATCCTCTAGCCTCGCTCCATGTTATGGTTTGTCTCTAGGTGTCCCCACAAAGCCTCATGCAATCAAGGGGCAGACTGCTAGAGTTTGTGATTAACTCTTTTTCTTTTTCTCCATAATTTTGAGAAACAAATAGCAATGAGACAGTTTCAAATCAAATTGGTAGGGCAGTTTCAATAATTGCCACATTGCATACTCTCTTCCTAGTGGTTATTTGCTGTACAAGATGTGGACATGATATCCTATTTACAAACACTATTAGAACAAATTCCTCTATTCATTAAGAGAATGTAACTATATATCTATCCTAATAATTTTGAATACACAGATACAAAACGGACATTCATCTGTATTGCCTTTTTTGTTGAGTTTTGTCATTTGAATATTATAGGTGTGTGAACTCAGCAAAATACTCTAAAATGTACAGTAGTCCATAATAGTATTGGGTCTTCCACTTGACGGGCAGTGTCAGAAATTGTTGACCTGTGTCCCCTACAGCTCAAACTAATAACATGACTTTAGTTCTTACACTTCGTTTTTATACTTTTCTGTTGGATGGTTAAGACCAAAATAAAGTAAGACCAATGCAACAACAGTTGTAGCTTTTGGATCTGATAATGTCAGTCAAATCACCTCAAGATTTATTCTGAGACCCTGTACCTCAGATTGTAGATCCTCTGTCAGTGTAAGCCATGTAGAAGAGTCATGGCCATTGCTTGGCCAATGTGTTCCCTGTGAAAGCCTGAGAGAAAGTTTTCTCTTCA